CTTTCCTAAAGAACATGATAAGGAGTCTGATGAATGTTGGAAAAGATAAAAGTGTTGGGCTCAGATGGAGTCCAGCATGTGGATGAATAGTCCGTACAGTGAAGCACGGAGGTGGCAGCATGATGATGTAGTCCAGCATGTGGATGAATAGTCCGTACAGTGAAGCACGGAGGTGGCAGCATGATGATGTGGGGCTGCAGGAGTGNAAATACTATTAATGAGAAATAAAAAACAAACAAAAAATACTTACACAGCCTGAAAACATTTAAGTTAATTTAATAGGATAGTAGTTGTAAAAATGTTCATACTTTGACTTCATGCATTAAAAATAATAGTAATAATTTTAAAATATCTGTGACAGGTGTGCCTATTTTTCAAAATATAAAGACTATGAGATTAAACATTTTTATTTTCACCCCTTTCACAAAGAAATCGTGTGAAACAAAGCACTCATCGTGAAAGAATATGCTGATGCTGCACATCACACTAAACAGCAGAACCTGGGCTACAAGAACATACAGCACCCTCCATAATGATTTAAGATGTGCTAAAAGCCTTAAAATAAATTCAATTTTTATTGCAGAAGCATCCTCTCACACTGAAAATTGTAGAAAAATGTAACCTTCAACTCCACTCAAATGAATTGTTGTCAAAAGGGGGGTTGCACAAAGTATTAATATCAAGGGTGCTAATAATTGTGGCTCACGTGACTTGATGTAAAAGCATTATTTTTTAATGTGGGATTCTTTTCACACTGAATACGTGCACTTGAATTAAAGGTTGAACTCTTTTTTTTCATTGTGATCCTATATTATATAGATAAAAAGCTGAATTTACTAGAAGCTAAAGAACACATCTTAACCAGGGGTGCCAATAATTATGGAGGCTGCTGTATAATCCATGTCTCCATGCCCCAAACACAACTCCAACACCAACTAAATGAATTATTAAACATGGACATCGATACAGCGCCACCCAGTACAACCCACTGGCCACATTTCTGGCTCCAGCTCTTTGGTACTTTATGCTAAACGCACCAACAAGGCCTCAGACGGAACCAGACGGTCCACAGAGTCCAGACATGTCCATCAAAGCTCTCTGAGATCAAAGCATCAGCGAGAAACAACCCAAAGAACAGCACAAACTCAAACTGGAGCTGTAACGTGTCTCTTACCTTATAGCTGTTCAGCCATGAAAAGTTTATTTTTATCGGTAAATCCACACCGGAATCAGTTAGTACTATTTCCTGTGTTACACTGAAATCATTCCGGGCGTCTTTTGGAGGCTTCGTTAGCCGAGGGTAGCTAACTAGTGAGCAAGATGGCGTCCTGCTGATTCTGATTGGCTAAAAGTGCTGTCAATCTCATTTTGGTGGCTGTCGCTACAATCTATTTTCTATTACATACACTGTTTATATTACGTTCTTATGTTTTACAGACATAAAGTAAGTAATAATTTGCACGTAATCCATTTTTTTTAAAAGTAAATAAATGTGGAAAAACGTGATTTCATGTCAGCAGATGATTCTGTTTTTATTTTCATCTCATTGTGTTTCCATTCATGTGTGTTGGGTCTCTACACTGTAAAACACACTTTAATTGTTTTTATTATGTTTTAAACTGGAACTATTTACTGTTGTTTTATGGATTCAGACTCCTGATGATATCTAGTAACTGTAAAACACTTCAGCTTTGTCGATGAAATAGAAAGTGTCATATTGACTTGTTTTCATATTATATTAATATTCAGTATAGTTTTTATTTGTTATTTTGAGTATGTGCTGCTGCATTATCTACAGACATACGGTTTGTTTAAAAAATAATAATTAAGCCAGTTCTTTAAAAAAAAAAAACAACAACAAAAAAAACAGCCGTTGTTCGTCCGTTGGCTCCGTTCTCCGTTAACGGAACCACCGCCATTAAACCAGTAGGAGCCTTCCCCCTGTCCCCTCACTGTCAGCAGATCTGTTTCGACGTACAACAACCGCGCAAAATGTGACTCTCAGAATATGTTTAGAGGAGAAATACTCGTTATTTGTGAGAAAATACTGAGAAGTGTGTCCCAGACATTAAACTGCTCCGTGTTGCTGTTGAAACGATGACACATTCCCCAGTACTGATGCTCAGACATGGTTTTAGAAGAAACTGGTGCTGAATATAAACCAGATTACAGACTGGTTGCAGGTTTGAACAGACCTCAGATCTGTTTTCAGTCCTGTCAGTACGACACGCTTCAGTTTATGAAAGCTGTTGTTGTTGTTGTGAGGCTGACAGGAAGAGCTGGAAAGCAACGACGCAGCATCAGCAGTTTGTGTTCAGTTCAGCGTTGTTGTGTCCACAGCAGCCCAGGACCGCTGAACAGCTTCTTATCGTGATTCATGCGTTATTGCTGCTGAATCTCGTAGTTGTCGGCTCAGTCAGGATGCTGCCCACATGCTGCTCGCTGAGAGCCACTGCTTCAAAGACAAAACCTTTTCTAGAAACCACTCAGCTCAACATTCAGGTTCATCATCGGCCAGGCTGATGAAGCAACAAATCAAAGCTGAACCTGCTCCTCAGCAGCTCCAGGCTCACGGTGTCAGTCAGGTCCTGGTATTAGATCAGCCCTGCAGCACCTGTTCAACACACTCCTGCTGGACCGGACCAGCTGCTGTGGGAACACGGACCCACATGGCTCTGACTGTCATGCAGTTCAGTGCTGCTAGAATAATCTAACAATGGTTTTCTTGATTATACAGTTATTGTAATGAGTCATTAATCAGTTACTCTGGAGATTATTTTTCTATCACTCAATTAATATAACAATTCATTTACTGAAGCAGGTCTCCTCAGGTTTTCTGGGTCTTTGGCAAACAGACTGCTTCAAGCGTCTTGAAGAAGTCGCCACAGCTCCTCTGTGGATTGAGTCTGTCTCAGTGTCTTCTGTCTCTTCATGTCTGGCTCCATGATGCTGAGCTCAGGGCCGTCTGGTTCCT